CTCTCTCATCTTTTTAAGTGGGAGAACTTGCACAATTGGTGGCTGACTAAATACTTTTTTGCCCCACTGTATGTATCTCTCCGGCATTCTCCAGTGAGCACTTCCAACTCTATTATAATTCTAACCTAGCAAACCCAAACCATGTAACCAACCGCTCTTTAGTCATTAGACATGACATGCTTTAATTTAGGTTCCTGCACTTACTCTGGTGGTTGGATTTGATGGCCTAATCTAATTGACCTAATCTAACCCAACTTTAATGTACATTCCCCCCAATCCATGAGCATCAGGCTATTGCCTGTTGGTTAGCTTAGACATGTGTTGCTTGCCTGCAACTTCTACATGGCACAATCTGCTGGATAAGTCAGGCTTGCTTTTTCTGATTAGTAAAATGGAAAACACAGGCAGACAACCTGGTAAGTTTTCAGTAGCTTAGCAGTGGTTGTTTTCAAGCCTGCAAGTCAGGTGCAGGGAAGGAACCATTGAAATCATTCTCTCTTTTAGATCCAGCTGAAAGTGACACTAAAATCTGTATGTTAATATAAATGAAGTTCCTCGAATCTGATGAGCTTTTCATCCTCTTGATATGGGGATGCATGGTATCCCATCTGTTTTTTATGATCTCTCTCTTGCTCCTTATTTGGCTAATTTATTTAATGGCGTGGGGGTGTCCTGCTTTAGCATGCAACATAATTCTCAGTTGGGTAAAACAAATACATGAGTGCTGTAAGGCACATTCCTTTGGGGGCCATTCCTGTAAACACTGCTTCTTATGCTGTTCTTTTGCAGTTAGTTATTAAGCTAAAGACAAAAACCAACACAGACTATTTCCTTGACTGTTGCTCTCGAGAAGAGCGTGACATTTGGGCGTTGGATATAACTGGTGCTATTCATGCTGGCAATCCAGTGCAAGTTCAGCAACTTCATCTCATGAGAAACTCCTTCAAACTTCCTGCAAATATCAGCCTGAAGTACGTGGTAAATAAGTTCTCAATCTGTTTTTGAATGCTGCTGGGTTGTACTGAAAACAGCGAGCACCACTTTTTGTGTGTTGGGAATGGGAAACCTGTGGTTCTTGTCACTGAACCAAACATCTCCGCAGCTCCAGCTTTCCAGGCCAGTGGCAAGGGATGCTTGATATTGTAGCTCAACCACATCTGGAAGGCTACAGGTTTCCCACCTCCTCTGTACATGCATTCAAGATTCCCTGATGCATTTCCTCTGGAACTTGGCATTACCCACTTATGAATCCAGCCTAGTCTTCCATACTGTATCATGAAATTTTGGAATGTGATATAATGAAGCACAGATAATGACTGCTGGCAGTAGTGGGTGGCCATTTCTTGGGAGAAATGGATGATTTCCACTCGCATGTAAGCAGAACTGGATTCCAAACATGCTTTGAATATTTTTGGATTCAAAACATGCTATTATCTGGAAACAATGGAATGTGGGTAACTTCACAAAACTGGTTCATCTGTTTGCTTATCGTTGACCATCTCTTGATTTTTTTCTCCAGTCATATTGTAGACAAAATGTATGACAGCAGCAGTGGAATCAAGATAACACCCAACACAGGACAAGGCAGCTTGTATAAAGAAAGCTTTACAGGTACACGTCACCATCTTTGTTCTCCAATATGCTCCGGTATAGAGAAATTGTCATCTGGTAGAATACATTTTCAGGACGTTTTCATTATCGGAACTGAGCTCTGGTATGTGAAAAATAATAAAGAATGTATCTTCAGTTCCTTTTGTCCCACTGCTTGCAAAAAGCAGGTGGCACATTTCAGAAATTGGATGGAAATATCCTTTAGAGGTGAAGATACCAGAGCAAGTATATTTAGTGGTTGGAGTGCTAGACTAGAATCAGAGAGATTCAGGTTCATCTCCCTACTCAATTATGAAACTCACTGTGTGTAAAGGTTGGGCTACTTTACAACCAGTGTATTCAGTCAAAGATAATCTAAGACTAGGGACTTCCAAGGAAGAAATGGCGAACTGAAGACAGCTCTGACTGCAGTGCAATGAAGACCGGCAAGCAGACTGGTTCTTTCCAATTCCTCTCTGAGCAAGGAGAGGACTTGAGATACCCACAAGTGTTCCATACAGTTGCTCCTTGCAAGGAGACTGCAAGACAGTGGCCTTTGGTGGGTTTGGAGCTCTGAGAGACAAAGGAATAGCCATCTTGTTCAAACCACAGTGCCTTCAAAGGGACACTGGGTTTGCATACTTCCTTTTCTAATCAGTTTCAGAACTTGCTTGTTAACTGCTTTTCAGTTATTAGGAACCTTTGGATCAACAAGTCTGAAAACACCAGGTGGGTTTCCTCCAATTCTTAGTGAAAGAAGTTTTAATTAAAGTTTAAAGAAAACACCCACCTGGTGTTTTCAGACTTGTTGATCCAAAGGTTCCTAATAGCTGAAAAGCATTATATATATTTGGAATAAACAGCAAAAGGGTGATTAAAAGTTTGATTTTGGAAAGTTACAAATGAACTAAGGATTTGAAATAATATTTTGGAATTAATTATAAGAATCCTTCCCGTGGGAAAATACTTTTGTTTTGAATTCTTAAAAAATGGA